TAGTCTTGCTTGTTCTCGCCCTTGAGGGAATCCTTGCTTATTGTTACTTGCTGACTTATTGCGACTACTGCAACAGGTGAAATTGTCCCTCCAACGCGGTAAAAAGCTCTGGGAGTCAACAACGCCCACACCTTCATTTTTGACGAGCACACCAAGTTAGCTTCTATTGATCGACGTTGGTGCGAGGGCTGTATTCAAAGGTCTTCGCTTGGACCTCCCGAAGACGCGAATCTGATCTGCCGGTGGGGGGGGGGGTGGGGGCTGTCGGATATGAAGCTGGTGGTTGCCAGTGTAAGAACGGAAGACATCGTCTCCACAAGAGTACTGCTGGCATCCCAGGCAGGGTGCCAAGTCATGCGCCTAGTCACTGGAGGCTGTACTTTTGTTAGGCGAGGACTTGTGCCTGGAGCGATTCTTCTTTATTACTGTTTGTCATCATCGCGGCTCGAGGGCGTCGGCCTCCAAGCGGGGTGTGTTTGGATTTATCGTCGTGGGGGAGGTGTTAACTGCGAGGAGGCTACGGGGCCCGAGTCTGACAAGATGGGAGAGCTACTAGATACCAAGTAATATAATCTCATAGGTTACTGAACTAAGAATCCCGCCCAGGCTCTCATGCATTGAAGCAGCCTGCGCTCGGAGAAACAAAGGACAAAGGGTTTTAAGCCGTCATTTGTAAGATATTTTTAGAGATGCAGAATGTAGACTAGTCCGAATTATATTAAGTAGAACAGTTTGTAGCCCGAAAACCTTCGCCCAGTACGATTGCCAGTATCCACCGAACCATGCCCAGGCTCTTTGTCGCAGTGGCATGGTCGCAGGTCATCATGGACCATGAGCAGGTGATACATGGCATCTGCCAGAATCCGATACCTTGCAACTAATGTTTTTGTGCGAATAAGGCTTGGTTTACAGAGTGTGAGGCGTTGGCGATGCTGAGCGTTGATAGATGTTAATGGAAAGAGAGGAGATACGGAAACGAAAGGTTGAGGGAGCAACCCCGTGGCACATGCCATTAGTTGGATGCTTACACCAAACGCCGGCTAGTCACCCTCGGAAGCGGAACTAAAGCCTCTGACAACAGCCCAATGGCTGCTACCAGGCAATTCGGTCTCCCGGCTCAACATGATGAGCGCGTCCGCGTGAGATCGACTGGCAGGCTTCTGGGGATGCGCTTATTTAAAACACAGGCCAAAGTCCGAATCAGTCCCTAGAGCAGTCATTCCTCGCCTAATGAATCATCTCAGCTTTTCGGAGCTTTGTCATCGATCTAATTTTAAGACTGCATCGTATCTCAGGAGCTTTCAGTCGTCTCAATGTGATTTGTTTTTAGCTGAGACCTCAAGCCAGCCTCACCGGCGCATCCAGCTAGTTGATTACGCCCATCCCGATCTTTGAACAGTATAATCTCCTTGGTACTGTGTATAGTTTACTCAGGACAATCTAATCAATTGAGGCAGTGAGACAAGATTCTGACCGCCATGTCCATGCGCAGAACTCGGTCCAAGAAGCCAGATATAGACATCCAGGACCAGAACTGGGACATCCGTGAAGCTTAGATAGAGCAAAGCGCAGCCACACGCCATGTGGCACTGGTGTCAATCAGGGACTATTAAGCAGAGCAACTTTCTCGCAGCATTATCACAATTACCGGGCACAACAACACCTCATTCATTTCTCACTATCTTGCCTGATACCGTATACATTCCTCCGCTTCTTTCCACAAATCGACTTCACTATGTTCACACGTGCCATCTTCGGAATCCTTGGCACGACGGCTGTTGTCTCTGCTAGCCCCTCCGCCACTACCGATCCGTCGCCATCAAGGACAACGGCAAAGACTGGTGTG